ATACATTTAATTCGGTCCACAAATTTGAATAAATTGGTATGCATGTAGTAAACGCATTTAGAACTAATATTATTATATGATCTGAATAATACCGGAACGTCGATACGAGCGTACCGATTTTAATAATCAGATAATAATTAGCGGATTTTACAAAGAATATAGCAATTCCGGATTAATTAATATATAATTACACGTGCATTACGTTTCACCGTGCTACTGATGAATGCAAATCCGGATAAAACCTGTTCCACTAAGCCGTCCAAATCTGCTTATTATTATTACTTAATCACTTAGTTTTTTTTTAATCCAAATAATTATTTTTTTAATATTATCTTTTATATTATTTTTTTTTCTTTGAGAGAAAGTTAAATTTGTTTAAAATGAAATCCATTTACTTGTGTGTTTTACGTATTATGCACACCGGCTAATATACTAAATATTGTTTGTTTTGTAACGAAATTCAGCTCGAAATACCGCTTTTTCGGTATAATGAAAACATTTCAATGTGTTTTGTTTCACGTGTTTTCAGGAAAAAGTTACAAAAAAAACATAACATTTTATATACTGTAACGAATACATAACAAAAATATATTTCAATAATCCTCTTCATGGTTATTCTGACTAACAAACATTGTAGATATTTACTAAATAAAAAAAAATGTTTAAAACGTTTTTATTAAAATAATGATAATAGAAATGTATTGAATGTTGTGGCTCTATTTTCATGCAATGTTTTCATTCGGATTTAGTTGAATTTTTTTTGTTTATCGATATGTTTAATAAATATTAAATGTTGGCGATATTCAATATACGAAATTTTTATACGTCCATTGAACAAAATCTGTTTTATTCAGTTTTTTATGAAAATTTCTTAATGAAAAATTATAAGTAAAAAATATTTGATACCAGAAATATTGAACTAATAAATTTTATATAAATCTGTTTTGATTTATTATTAGAACATGTAATAACTAATTAAATAATAAAAAATGAAGATATTGAAAAAGATTTAATCAATCAAGCCTAAATACTTGAAAATTTGTTATAAATTTGAATGAATCTAAATAATTTCAATTTGTCAGTAAAAACGTAATTATTATAGAATAATTGTATAAACTGGTTTATTTTCTGGATATAAATTTTATTTTTTATAATAATAATAACACAAATTCAAATACAATACATGAGATATTTTTAACTTTTCTCTCAAGTTTTGTATCCATAATTTTACTATTTATTTCTTTCGTAACTTTTCAAACAACTTTGACGATTTTCTCCTTTATTTTTATAATAAATTTAATATATTTTATTACTTTTATTTACAGTTTTCTATAAATATTTATATTGTTAGTAGTTATGATAATATATTCACTGCAATTAATTTAATCAAATATTCAATACAACTAAAAAAATCTTCATTTCTTTTGAAAACATTTTTCAAAAGAATTTTACACAATTTCTTAAACATAATTTATTACAATTTTATGCAAATAAAAATCTTTCACTTCGTAAATTTGTAACGTTTTATTATAAATCAAGTATTTTTGTGTAGATTTCAGTGTTAAACGCATTAATTTTTTCTGTGTTTTTTTTTTGTAATTTTATTATTGGAGATTTTGAACCCATACCCATACAAATGGGTCAAAATGACTTTGAAATTCAAATAATGATGATATTTTAAAGACGTAAATGCTATAGTCGGGTCACTTTGACCAGAAATACACTAAATAAGTACGTCTCGTCGCGACTTCTTTGCTTCTACTGAATGCACTATATAATATTGGAAAAGATAAAAAAATAGAATGTGAATGATAACAAATATCAGGTGGGTCATTCTGACCTACACGTGGTACTTATAGGTTATTATTTTTTTTTCTAAATCTAACTAAATTTCGAAGATTGGTTGAATAATCTAGATGTAATTGGCATTTATATCTAGATTTAAAGAAGTTTAATACATAAAATCAATAAAATTTTAGTGATTTGTATATGTAAACAAATTTGAAGTATTTTGATTACAATTCTGCAAAAAAAAATCTTGATTTTTCCTTACGTTGAATTAAGAATATTCCGAGAGCGAGAGTGAAATGAAAAGTAACAATGAAACGTTACAAAAAGGGTAGAGAAGATTAAACTCTTCCTCATTAAAACCGTCGTCGATTAAAAGTGTGAAGACGGCAGTTAATTTTCCGTTGCGTTTCATAAACCGCCGTCGACGTAAATTAATAATAACACACACACACACATTGCGATAGTCGCATTCGCCACAGAATATAATAATAAATGCTGATTAGTTCCAATTAAAATTTAATCATCGCCATTTAAAGTCCGTGATGAGTGGGAATCGTGTGCCTCCTCATCACAAGAAGTCATCATACCCGAAAAAAAGAAAGAAAATAATAATAATTTTTGTGAGTGATGCGTGAAGCCTTTAAGTAAAGCATTCCACGTCGTCGCTCCGGTTTATGTAATAAACCGTTTATTGTGATCACGAAAAGGGACCTTCCTTAATCACGCATTAAGCGGTTTTAATACCAGCTGCGTTATGACTCGCAACGTGCGTGCTTTACCTTTTCGATGTCATTTCATCAACCCCCCAAAACCAAAACCAAAAACAAAACCAAACCCCAAAATTTAATTACGACCCGACAATCTCGTGTTCTGCGTGCAAAGAAAACGTAATTTCCGTAGCGCAAGCAACACCAGTTTTCTTCTGTTTAAGAATATTGAAAAGTTGAAGCTTTTCAAATTACACAATGATAATTCGATTTATTATGTAATTCTAAGTACTTAATAAATTTTAAATATTTCTTATAAATAAATGGACTTGTTTTCGTTAATTTTCAACATAAGTAATTTCAGTTTTCTGTTTAAGAATTTTGAAAAGTTCAAAGTGTTAGAATTACACAATAGTAATTCGATTTATTAAGTAATTCGAATTGAACTTTTTGTATAATGATTTTTAAAAGTTGAAGCTAAATAAACGGACCTTTTTCATCAATTTTTAATGCAAACAACTACAGTTTTCTGTTCAAGAATTTTAAGCTTTCTTATAAATAAATGGACTTTTTTAATCAACTTTCAGCACAAGCAAACTTCAGATTCCTGTTCAATAATTTTGAAAAGTTGAAGCTAAATAAATACACGTTTTTCATCAATTTTCAGCACAAGCAAAATCCAGTTTTCTGTTCAGGAATTTTGAAAAGTTGAAGCTTCTAAAATTACACAATGATAATTCCATTCATTATGAAATTCTAATTACTTAAATATTTCTAATTACTTAATAAACTTTAAATATTTCTTATAAATAAATGGAGTTTTTTCATCAATTTTTAGCAGAAAAAAACAGTTCTGTTCGAGAAACATAACGAAAATTCGATTCATTATATAATTCAAGCGAGTAAAGATATTTGCAATTTAATTATTTACAATTTCCATAAATTTTAAGTATTTCCTATAAATAAATGGAATTTTTTCATCAATTATCAGCGCAAGCATACTTCAGATTTCTGTTCAATAATTTTGAAAAGTTGAAGCTAAATAAATACACGTTTTTCATCAATTTTCAGCACAAGCAAACTCCAGTTTTCTGTTCAGGAATTTTGAGAAGTTGAAGCTTCTAAAATTACACAATGATAATTCGATTCATTATGTAATAATAATTACTTAAACATTCATAAATTTTAAATATTTCTTTTAAGTAAATGGTGTTTTTTCATCAATTTTCAGCAGAAGAAAACAGTTCTGTTCGAGAATGGAAAGAATATCATAAATATTACAATTTTCTGTAAAATCAGCTTAGTTTTTTTTATTACAGATAGTTAAAATTATGTTTTTATTGATAAATTGATTTTATTTTCCATTGGTTTTCATTATTTGTAAAACGTGAAGCAACAAATGAAATAATTAATTTTCTTGATTAGTTTTCTTAAATTTTTCAGAGAGTTCAAATAATTCTTCAAAATAAATACATTTTCTGTGTTTATTTATACTTTTTTTTTTCTAAAATCATCAATTTTTAAAGATTTAAAATATAATAATTTATTTAAAGCAAAAATTAGTATTGTTATTGTTTCTAATTTTTCTTTAAACTACTTTTTAGAAGTAATATTTACCAGTTATCAAGTTTTTCAAAAAAAAGTATAATTAATTAAGTTTACTTAAATTTTTCGAAGAGTGAAAATAATTCTTACAAATAGATTTTCTGTATTAATTTTTACGTTTTTTTCTACATCTATTAGTGTTGCTTTCTTAAATTATATATTCTTATATATACATTAATTATTAGAAGAAATTTTTATAAATAAATTAATCATCATCTTATAACAATATTTGAGGCAATTAATTTAAAAAAATTTAATATTAAAAAAAAAATAAAACAGATTTTTCTTTAATTTTAAATTAATTTAATTTCTACACTTATCAAGTTTTTATTTGAGAATTTCAAAAAGTTAAATCCATTAGCATTACGTAAATAATCGAACTAATTTTCTATCAAACATCTTTATTTATTATTACATTAATTGTTACACATATCAAGTTTTATTATAAAAAAAATCAGTCAAATATCTAAATTACTCAATAATTAACATTTTATTTATATTTTAACATAATTCCAATCAATAAATTATATTTTCCAATAGGTTTAATTGTTATTATTATTTTCATTATTTTCATAAAATTTACTGAGTTAAATCTAATAAATTGAAGATTTTTCAGTATGTTTTTGTTTGTAATTTTTATAGAGTAATTCTAATAAATAAATCGAATTAATTTGTCCATCGAATTTCGCCGGGTTTTCATTGTTTGTTATTATATTAATTGCAGCGCGGATCTAATTTAAAATGCAAATTCGCTGCGATTCCAAACGGATTTATGGAAATTAATTGAATCTGGTGAAAACGGCGTTACGCAACTTTTAATTGAATCCGGGAAAATTGAGTTCCAACTTCGAAACAAACAAAAAAAAATCAAAAAAGGACGAAGGAATTCGGACTTACCGGATATAAACAGAGTGAGAATCAAAATTTCCTTCATGGCAATTGTCCACATTTTCGTGTTTCCGTTTCTACTCAGAAAAAAAATAACCAAAACAAAGTTCACCAGAAACAAATTCGCACTTTTGCTTCACTTATTTATTTTTAAATCGTTTCTCTTGTTTGTTGTTATTGTTATGTTTTTTTTTTATTGAATACTTTGGCGCACTTTTCGGGTTTATTTTTGTAAAACAAGTTTTGAAGAGACGCGGGCGTCGGGACGCTTGTGGTGCAGCTGGGGCAGGCGCGAAAGTAACTGACAGCAGGAGGAATTCGCCGCGAAAGGAATCAACAGTTTTCGAAGCAAGAACGCATGCGTCCACCGAATCCACCCTCTCTCTCTCTCACCCTACACACATCCACACAAAAACCCTTCTCGCAGGTTGCCCACCTAACAAGGGTTTTCGGGACAGCGACTTCTACAAGAAATTTTCATTTAGTTCTGCAACTAATTTCCAGCAAACGAATCAATGCGCACCAACACAAAAAAAATATCTTATTTTCTCAAGTAATTTATCACGTAATTTTTCGGCATAATCGAATTATCGAGGTTATTAAAATTTGTGTGCATGTGTTTCTGAGTAGTTTTTAGGTCACATCATTGTTTCGTTGTGTTTCATACAATCAATCGATTTCCTGTGTGGAATAGCAAAAAAAAATATATGATATTTAGTTATGCAGTGGTCGTGTCCTGATTGAATTTTACCTCGCACATCGCTATAATCACATTTTTTTTCTACACAATTCATGCAAACGTTAAAAGCGTACCGAGTGGCAATATTTAAATATATTTTTTCAGTATATTGAAAATACACCAATAGAAAAAATCATAAAAAAAAATAATGTAAGCTTTTCATTTTTTAATAAATTTCTTTGTTAAGTACGAGTAATTTATATATAATCATAAAATATATCAAAACAAACTACATATTAATTAAAAAATTGTTTTTTTTTTTCAGAATGGGAAAATTGATCAAATTTAGAAAAACTTTACACTGTGCGAATATTAGTCACAGTGAGCAATGACTGTTAAAGTTTTATCTATTTTATGAAACGAACGGAGGACAAATGATTAAATATTTTTAAGCGAGGCGTAGTAACAACAAGTTTCAAACCCACCGCTATACAATACAGAATTTTTAAGTAATTTAATCATAATCATAAAATATATTGTATAGAGATACAATTTTATATATTTATTAATAAAAAAAATAGTTATTTTCACAAATTTATAAAAAAAATTGAAAAAGCTTACATTTTAATACATTTCTTGTTGACTATCAATTACGTTTGTTATTATAAAATATACAGTTGTTAAGTAATTTAATCATAATCATAAAATATATTGAATGAAGCTACAAATTTGTATTTTTATTAATAAAAAAAAAATAATTTCTTCACAAATTCATGTAAATTATGATAAAACTTATATTTGAATATATGTCTTGTTAACTATCAATTTTAAAGGATAGAGTTATTAAGTAAGTTAATCATAATCAAAAAATATATTGAATAGAGCTACAAATTTGTATTTTTATTAATAAAAAAATAGTTTCTTTTTTGTACAAATTGATGAAAAATTGAAAAAACTTACATTTTCAGAAATTTCTTGTTAACTATCAATTACGTTTTTTATTATAAAATATACAGTTGTTAAGTAATTTAATCATAAAATGTACTGAATAAAGCTACAAATTTGTATTTTTGTTAATTAAAAAATTTGTTTATTTTTACACAAATTAATGAAAAATTGAAAAAACTTACATATTAATATATTTCTTGTAAACTATCAATTACTTTTGTTATTATAACATATACAGTTATTAAGTAATTTAATCATAATCATAAAATATACTGAATAAAGCTACAAATTTATATTTTTATTAATAAAAAAAATAGTTTCTTTTTTGTACAAATTGATGAAAATATGAAAAAACTTACATTTTAATATATTTCTTGTTAACTACCAACTACGTTGATTATTATATAATATAGAGTTGTTAAGTAATTTAATCATAATCTTGGGTGAAGTAATTTTTTTTCGTTAGATGGCTTTAGTAAGTCATATCTCACGATGTATACGTTGCATCTTGTCATTCTATACTGCGACTTAAAGACGACATAACGCTTTAAAAAAGTTCTTTGACAGTTTTGTGATTAGTGAATCCAGTTGAGTGTTAGAACGCTCCAAAATAGAGGTAGTAAAGAGAAAATTCGATACATTCTTCAGTATCACTACGAGTCAACTGTTTATGGACTCAATACAGTATCAAATGCAATAGCAAAACGTTGGTGTCAACGCTTCCGTTCTGGTAATATGGACGTCGAAGATGAGATACGCTTTGGTTAGACAATCGTCGAAAATGTTGATAAAATCATGGAAATCGCCGAGTAGGACAGGCATGCGAGGACTTATTTCATTGTACAGGAACTGAAGATTAGCTAGAAAACCGTTTGAAATCGTTTTTTTAATTAAATTTACAAAAATATTGTTTTTACTTTTCTTGATAATTGCTAATAAATAATTAATTTGTAAATAAAAACACAATAAATATTTCAAATAACATCGTTTATTCACAACACGTATTTTCATGTCTTTTGTAATGAAATTATATTTGTTTTTCATTTGATATTCGATTTCCGTGTTGTGTATTGTGCTGAAATATTTATGGGAGACAATTAAAATTTCTGTTCTATTTCCGTGGTTGGTGATCAATTCTTGAGCTGAAAATAGTATCACGATTTAATCGGGTTTACTACTACGAACATAATAAAAAAAAATGGGTAATTATATCGAGAGAACACGATTTCTATTTATATCCAATACTTATTCAGTTAATCATTAATTATTTGTGAAGGACAACAAAACTTTGCTGTTTATAAATTACTTAATATCAAAGAAACAAAGTTTAGTTGAATTACATTGAATATTAAAATTATTAGTTTCTAGAAAAAAATCTTCTATTTTTTTGTCTTCTATTATGTTGTTAATGTTAATTATTCAGAATTAATTACTTATAAGAGATAACAACAAATTTGGTCTATTTGATTTTAGAAAAACCAATTATTGTAGGAAACCTTACATTTTTCAACCATTTTCTTCTATTTTATGATTTGGTTTTAGAAAAAAATTACTTGTAACTATTTAATCTTGGAACAATTATTCAGAAAATTACAAATCTTATTGTATTAATTTGTAGAAAACTTAATCAACTATTATCCATGATTTGGCTTTAGAAAATTTTATCGTGTTTCAATTATTCAGAATTTTTTAATTACGTAATAGGAAATTACAAATACAAATATTGTGGTAATTTCCATAGAAATTGTACCTTTATTTTCTTCTATTTTCGAATTTGTAAGTTTTTCGTTTTAACTTTCCTAACAATATTTTTTTATCAATTATTTAAAATTATCTGAATTACGTATACAAATATTAAAAAGTAATATTATGGTAATTTCCATAGAAATTATATTTTTCAATTATTTTCTTCTATTTATCGGTTTTGTTTTAGATAGATTTTCTTGTATTTTTTTAATGTTTTAGCTATTGGATTTCTGAATTACGTAATGTTTGTATATTTAAAATAACATTGCAGTAGTTTCTATAATATTCCATTTTTTTTATCTAATTTAGGTGGATTCGGTGGCAATCGCAAGACCGACAACCAAATCCTGTCTATCGAAATCCCGACGTTCGAAATCCCAACTATATCGAAATTCCGACTATGTTAAAATCTCGACAGTGTCTCTTATTATTATAAATTTCTACAATAACATTTTTATGGTAGTCGGGATTTCGATATAGTCGGGAGTTTGATTGTCGGGATTATGGTAGTCCGGATTTTGACATAGTCGGGATTTCAAGCGTCGGGACTTTAATACAGTCGGGATTTCAATATACGGTCTTTCGGTTGTCGAGCTTGCGATATAGACCCAGGTGAATTTATAAACTTCTACTTACAATTTTCTTAACAATATTTCAAATATCAAAGATTTAGAATTAATGAATTACGTTTAAAAAAAATTGAGTTAATTTCTAGAAAAATCTCTTTGTATTTTTTTACTATGTTGCATCAATTTTGTAGAATTATTGTCTTAAGTATAATAAAATTAAATATTCTGGTAATTTCTATAGAAATTATATTTTCTTTTGTAAGTCTTTTCTTCCATTTTTGTGTTTGACTTTATATAAGCGTCTGCTCGTAATTTTCCTAACAATAAGTTGTATCAATTATTCAGTTTCAGATCCAGACAATTTAATGTTAATACGTATAAACTAGCTCAGTGTATGAACACATATAGAGATACTCGTGTCTCTCCATCCTACTATTCTAAATAGTCTCGTACAAATGAAATGTTTGAGCTTGAATTATTTACTATACATACATATTCCCTTGCCACCCAATTGCAGCGCCAACTATAGTTATAACTATAGTTTCTACACAAAGTAACTAGTTATGTTTTTGAATTACAAAACATAGCGTAACTATTATATATAATTACTATAAATAAAAACAAAACAAATTTGTAAAACATTAAACTTTTATAAATAAATTTTTTTTAAATTAATATTAGTTTATAATCATTTTTAAATAAGTTTCTTCAAGTCAATGAAACAAAAAAAATATTTTCCTGATTTATTTTTATTTTTCAAACTTTTCTAATTTCTTCTATATGAAGACGCGCGCAGGTTATATTTTACCCACTATCTATTACATCATTTTAAATGCTATTTTATGTAATTATAATGTATAATTTCTTGGAAAAAAATATTTTAGAAGGCATTTAGTACACAATTAGAACAATTAACACAGGTTAATTGAATGAAAAGTATTTATATATGTACTTCAATACCTCGCATAGTACGATTTCGATAAGTTCGGATTGACTATAGTACGATTTGAAAATTTCATATTTTTTAATTCTTAAAAAACTAGTACAAATTTTTGCATTCAAAATACACAAATATTCAATCTTACGCAAACGCTTGAATCTAGCCCAAACGCTAAAGTACGCGTTTATTCATCGGCGCGAAATGTCTCAGATTCGCAGGGTATTCCCCTAATAATATGTACACAAGTCCCTTTCTATCTTCATTACTTTTTACACTATTTAAGCGTTTTCAGCACAAAAGACTATGCAAGGAAAGCAGTGTAATTTGTACATTTTGTTTACCTTTTAAACTATTTTGTTAAAATTTTATGGCCAACACTATTGATTTTTCAAATCAGTATACCTCGCT